AGCCCCCCGGGGCTGCGCGGGCTCCCGGCACATGGCGCTCATTGTTCGGAGAGCGAAGGAGCGCTCTGGGGTAAAAGCAGGCTGTTTAAAGTAAGGCCGGGGGTTTTGTAAGTTGTAAAGAGAGTGAAAATTCCCTCGCGTGGGGAGTTGAAGTGTGGGGGCACCCCCCGAGTGCCCCCCACCCTATCGGAGCTGGGAAAATGCATTTTTATTGGGATTGAAGCAAATAACGGCGTGGAGGGGGGAGGTGTGTGACAAAAACTGCCCCTAAAAGGGGCTGCTCCTGCTTCTCAGCAGAGGGGTGCTGCAGGGGGGGTCACCCAGAGGTGGTACTGGGCCCCCAAAATGGACAATTTGGGTGTTAAAAATCCCTCCCGGGCCCCAATTTCCCTCCAATTAAGGATGCTGGGGGTCGAGCCCGGTGTCTCTCGGGGGTGTTTTGGGGGAGCTCGGGCTCAGTTTGGGTTCTCTGATGGCTGGTACAGGGTTGAACTAACACATCTCTTGTGAAAGGAGAACAGAAAGAGATTATTTTTGGTCTTTTTCCTTCTGTTTTCATGCTGGGGTAGGCGGGGTGGGGGATCGCTGAGGAAAAAAATTGCATTTCCTCAGGAAATGGAGTGAAAGCCGGGATTCCAGGAATTTGGTGTTGCAGAACCGTGGGGGCTTCACGGATCCCCCCACCTCGTGAGTGGTGATTTGTGCCCGCAGCCAATTTCAGGCGTGTCCGAAGTACTAAAATAGGTGGAAAAAAGTGAAAGGGGTTGGGAAAATAGGATCTAAACAGAGATTTTCCTCACGATAAAATCTTGCAGTTGAGGCTCTTTTGCTTCACGGTTCTCAGGCTCCAGGCGGGCGCCCAGGGGAGATTTTGGGGCTGCAGTCCGAGATTTCGGTACAACCAAGGTGGGAAACCACCTCTTTGTTTTAACTCTTTCTCTTCCCCAGCTGGGTTTTGTGGTTAATTAAACTGAGGCTGGGATATGGGATCCCAGGAGAGGATGAGACTTGTTATTATTATATAAATTATATTTATATAACAAAAATATATAATATATTATATTATAATAAATATAAACATAATATATGATATTATTTATTTCATTATTTATTATTCAATAATTAATATTTACTAATTAATAATTAATAATTAGTTATTTAATATTTAATGTTTAATAGTTAATTATTTAATAATTATGATATAATATTAATTATTTTTTATTATTATCATTGGTGTGCAGAGGGAGGTTTGGGAATGGTGCTATTGGAAACAAGGCTGAGAACCGGTGCTTTCATTCTGCCAGGGGAAACTGAGGCACGGATACGTGGGGTTTGGATCAAGTCATCCCTTTGGGATGGATGGCAGCGGACTGGGGGCATCCTGATGGGTGTGAAGCCCCTCCCTGCGCTGGCTGTGGGTGAAGGGTTGTGAGCGGTGCCATCGCTGGCGGGGTCGGGGTGGATTTTGGGGTGCCGAGCCCCTCGGGGGGAGTGGAGGGCTGTTTGCTGTGTCGGGAGACAGTCTGGCTGGATGGCAGGGCAGTGCCAAAGGGAAGGAAACAGTGGCGGCGGCACGATAAGGGCCGGCTGCCAACCCGCGAGGTTTTCCTTGTTTTTCTGCCGGGGATGAGATAAGAGCCGGGCACAGGCACAAGATAATGCCCGGGAGTCACGGCGCCGGGAGGGAGCCCGTCCGCAGCTGAAATCCCCGGTCTGTCGCCTCTGGGTGCTCTGGGTGCCGTCTCCGGGTGTTTCACGGTGCGTGGGTTCCACAGCTGGGGCGCAGAGCCGCGAGCGAGCCGGCAGCGGCAGGGTGAAAAGCCATTTTCTGTGCCGCCAGCCTTCCCCAGGTGCCTGGCACTGTGGGATTCCCTGGCACAGGGGGGTCCCTCTCCCCGCTTCAGGGCGGAGGTGGATCCGGCTTTATTCCAGCCTGAAGGGGAGGTTGCACAACCCGGCCCCGGGGGAAAGCGAGGCGGGTTCAGGCTTTGCTCAGCTCTTGGCTCTGGCCCTCTTTGCTTTCCATAACCATCCTCCGGCGTTTGTGTCGGCTTTTACTAACTCAGAGCCATTCGGATTTTGCTCGCTGGAGGAGGAGGTGGCTTTAGAAGGTGTGTAAATCTTTCTTATCCTTCATCCTCTTCCTCAACCCCGGGCCACTGAGCACCTCTGTTGCTGATCTCCCTGTGCAGATGTCGACCTACAAGCGGGCGACGCTGGACGATGAAGACCCCCTGGACTCCCTTGGTGACAGTGATGGATACCCCAATGGCTTTCAGGTATAGCTTCATGTGTCTTTTAGGGAGGAAAAGGGGGATTTTGTGTCCTGGCAAGCAGCAAAGGGGGTGCAGAAGGGTTTTCTATCTGGGACCAGTGTCTGGAGGGTAAAGTCCAGTGAGGGCAGAGCCATGTTGGCTCCTGCCACTCCTGCCCTTCGCTCCCCTTCTGGCACAGGGAGCCAGCACGGCTATATCCTGCCTCGCTGTTTCAGCACTCCACCTCCTAGCTTTTCTGCTGCCAAACCCCTTCCTAGCATGGTTGGGGTGAGCAATTATTGCAGCACTGGGACTTTTGTCCCCACATAAAAAGGGATTAGTTTAATTCCTTCCCAAGCAGTGGGAAAGCAGCTTAAAGAGGGCCAAGGGTGGCAAGAAAAAAACCCCATGGCTGCCAGTGTCTGGCCTCACCAGGAGGGGTTCAGGTCTGGAGAGATCCTCTCTGTCCTGGCCCCAATCCCAGCTCCATGTCTCTAGAATGGTGCTTTCTGACCCAAAGGTGTTTTTACTTTTCCTGGCGGGGCCGTCTCCACCTTCACATTGAGATGTTTCCTGGGGATGTTTTTTGCCTGAGTGGGAGTATCCTGTTAAGGCACTTTCAGATGAAGCCCCCACCCTGTCCCAGGGCTGGCAGTGGGGATGGGGACAGCCGTGGGATTACACTGTGCTCGAGAAAGTGTTTGGGGTGGCACGGGACAGCAGGTGAGCCCTCCAAAGCGCTCGTCCTGCTCCCTTTCCTGCCATTGTGCTGCCCTTCCTGCCTGGTTTCTGGAAGGCAGCGGCTGCCTTTTCCCGCTGAATCCATGACAGAACCCTCTCCTGGGCTAAATTTCTGCTGTGGCCTGTGGGAAGCAGAATGGGGGCTGCATCAGTGAGTTTTTCTGCCAGCGGGGAGATGACGCTGCTCTTCCCACAGGTGAACTTCCGCAGCTCCCGGGGCAGCCGGGGGTGCTGGGCTGAGCGGACACGCGCTGAAAAGCAGCTGGTGGTGCTGGTGGGGGTGCTGGTGGTACTGCTCGTGGCCTGTCTGCTGGGACTCGTCTTCCAGTACAGAGCCAGTAAGTCCTTTGGTTATTTTCTGGGAGCCAAAACTCCCCCAGGAAAGGGAGGGTCCTGGGTTTAGCCTCTGTGTGCAAACACTGAGGCAGAGCAGCTTATCTGAGTGACTGGTGGGGATGGTTTGCTCAGGCTTTGAGCAAACAGCTGCCCCTTTGACCAGGGTGGGCTGCTGGAGAGTTCCCAGAACACAATATTTGGTGCGAGGGTGGGATTCCCACCTGCCCCCCTCAGTCCAGGACAGGATCCTTGGGTATCAAACAGGATGTTCAGGTGTGGGGTGGGATCTTTGGGCTCAAAACAGGATTGTCACCTGCACCCCTTAACCCCCAGAGTGAAATGCTGAGATGCAGGATAAGATATTTCTCTGACCCTTTATCCTGGAGCTTGATGCCTGAGCACAGGATGGAGCATTTCTCTGCATCCTTCACCCCAGGGTGGATGACTGGGCACTGCACAGGATCTTTGGGCATAAGATGAAATGCTTGCCCAGGGATGGGAAGTTTGGCCAGGATGCTCAGACATAGGCCAGCATGCTAGTCCATATTGCTTGCCATAGAGCAGGGTGGTAAGCTCCAAGGTGGGATGCTCGGGTACCAGCTGGGGTATTTGCCCCTTCAGCTCAGGGCAGGATGCTCTGTGGTGCCACTCATCCTGCTGCAGCAGAGGAGCTGACCTGTTCCTGCCCCGCCAGGGTCACCCAGCGTGTGCTTGTCAGAAGCCTGCATCTCCGTTACCAGCTCCATCCTCAGCTCGCTGGACCGCACGGTGAATCCCTGTGAGGACTTCTTCAGCTACGCCTGTGGGGGCTGGATCAAGGCCAACCCTCTCCCTGACGGTCACTCGCGCTGGGGCACCTTCAACAACCTCTGGGAGCACAACCAGGCCATCATGAAGCACCTGCTGGGTGAGTGCGTGGGAGCGGTGGGACCCCGCAATTCTCAGCGGCCCCATCAGGTGCAGGGAATGCCAAAAACACATACACAGAAACATGAGGTTGGAACTTAACTCCAGTGTCAAACCAGTCTGTGACACACATGCTGTGAGAAACAGATCCTGGCTGTGTTTGCTCTCCTCGATGGTCCTGAGGTTTTTCACTGCGGTGCTGCTAGTCTTTGGTGCCGAGCAGGGAAAAGGCCTCTGCTCTGTAAACACCATGGTGGCATTCCCAGAAATTCTGAAATTGAGGATTTGCTCTCTAGACTGCATCCAGAGGCTGTAGTGCCTCAGTGTCACCCCAGATCTGCATTTTTCCTGTTCTATAACTTCCAGCCTTTGTGAGCAGCCTTTTGGGGGGCTGGCTGCCAATATGGCCATTTTTGGGGGGCTAAAACTCCCCCAGCAAAGGGAGGGTGCTGGGCTCGGCCTCTGCGTGCGAACACCAAAGCAGAGCAGCTTATCCGAGCAACTGGTGGGGACGCTCTGTTCAAGCTTTGAGCAAACAACTGGCTCCTTATCAGCACTTTCCACTGCGCCAGGGCTGATTATCTGGAAAGAGAAGGTTTGGGAAGAGTGTTGTCTTTTGAGAGAAAGGGGGTGGCGCGGGAACAGCTTTGTCCCTGGCTTTTCCTGCAGAAATCTGGTGCTGGTTTTACTGGGAGAGGAGACTGGGCCTCCAGCCAAGTGGTTGCGTTCGGCATTTCCTTGAATTCCTTGGAGCTGAGGGACCTTTAGTTAATAAAACCACAGAGCTGAGAAGCCAAAGGTGCAAGCTGTGTCATCAGGAAAATAAATTAAAAAAACCCCAAAAACCCTCTGGGGAAGCAGAATTTTAGCTGGGGGGATGAAAGGAAGGTTTTGGAGGCAGAGGAGAAAAATGGGTTTATTGTTCCTCTTTGCAGGAATAAAGAATCACAGGGCTGGGAGGCACCAGCACATAGGCAAGGGCAGCACCTGGGGCTGGGAATATCAGAGCTGCTGGAAAAAGAAAAAATATTTTTTTTCTTTCTTTCTTTATCTTTTGACCTCAAAGAGTTGGAACAGTCACTGTGTGTGGGAAAGGAGATGGGGGCAGGAGGCCAGGAAAGGATGGGGTCAATAGGATGTCCCTGGAGGCATGGCAGGGACTGTTGGGACAGTCCTTGGTGCCTTTTTGGAGCCTGGCCTTGCCCAAAGTGGGGCTGAATCCTTCTGGCTCCAGCGGACCCCCATCCCTGGAGCCCCACATGATTCCTGGGTACCTCCCACAGAAAACACCACGGCCAATGTGTCAAGCGAGGCAGAGCGCAAGGCACAGCGCTATTACCAAGCCTGCATGAACGAGAGCAAGATCGAAGAGCTGCGTGCCACCCCACTCATGGAACTTATCCAAAAGGTTTGTCCCACTCCTTGTGGAAAATCCACCTTCCCTCTGCAAAATGGGGGGAAAAGCTCAGTCGTGGGCAGTCCTCACATCCTCCATACTCCATTCTTAGGGCTTCCTTCAGAAGAGCATCCCCCCGGTCAGGCAGGCAGAAGCAGGGATTTATAATCCTGTAAGGGGCTTTTTAGCCCCTTTGCAAGATATTTCCCCCTAGGATGGATATTGAGGGGATATTGAAGCAATTTCAGGTGTCTGTTTCTTGCTTGAATGTTGGTTGCTGTCTGTCCCCAGCTGGGTGGCTGGAACATCACAGGTACCTGTGCTGGTGACAACTTCAACAAAACGCTGCGGGAGGTGACGGCGCATTATCGCACCTCGCCCTTCTTTTCCGTCTACGTCAGTGCTGACTCCAAGAACTCCAACAGCAACGTCATCCAGGTGGATCAGTCAGGGCTGGGCCTGCCATCGCGGGATTACTACCTGAACAAGACTGAGAATGAGAAGGTGAGGGTGTCGCAGGAAATGCGTGTTGGCTGGGGGATGCCGTGGGTGGGAGGCACCCCCCGTGCTGATCCCACCTGTCTGACCACGCAGGTGCTTGCTGGGTACCTGACCTACATGGTGCAGCTGGGGATGTTCCTGGGAGGCACCGATGAGGAGTCAACACGGCAGCAGATGCAGCAGATATTGGACTTTGAGACGGCCTTGGCCAACATTACCATCCCCCAGGAGAAGCACAGGGATGAGGAAGTCATCTACCATAAAATGACAGCAGGAGACCTAAAGGTAGGAACGGAGCTGGAGAGCTTCTCTGTTCTGCTGTGGTTTGGGAAGTGGGGTGGATGGGTGGAGCTCCTCTGGGAATCCTGACACCAGCTGACAGCCTGGGAAGCTCTTGTGCAACAGCTTGGCATATGTCCTCCTTGGGGAAATCCTGGCCTGACCCTTCCTCCCAGCCTCTGGACCACCCCTGGGGCTGGCAGCTGTCCTACTGCAGCACTTCTGTCCTTCTGGCACTGCTGCCCCTGGATGGACGTCAGCCTGCTCACCTCCCAGTGTCCCCAAAGGGGCTCTAATGACTTGTATCAACATCTCTGACACCCACCCCACTTTCTTTTCCTACTTTGTGGGAGGAAATTGTTTACTCCCCTCTAACCTTTCAAGGATGCTGCTCTTATGGGAACTGGTGTCTGCAAAGTCAGCTGAATCCATCAAATGGGGACTAATACAGCCAATTCCAGTTCAAGAAGCAGCTGTCTCCCCTTGTGATGGTTTTCAGGTCCATAGCAGCACTGTGGTTTTTGCAGGAGCTGGCACCAGCTGTGGACTGGATGCCTTTCCTCTCCACAGTCTTCTACCCCGTGGAGCTCAACGAGTCAGAGCCCGTTGTGGTCTATGCCAAGGAGTACCTGAAGCAGGTCTCTGACCTCATCCTGGCCACGGATAAATGGTGAGAACCCCCACCCTGTATGGAGACCTGTGTACCCAGGGTGGGCAGGAATGTGCTGCTGCCTACTCACCACCTCCCACCACAGTCTCCTCAACAACTACATGATCTGGAACCTGGTGAGGAAAACCAGCCCACTCCTTGACCAGCGCTTCCGGGATGCTGAGGAAAAATTCATGGAAGTGATGTATGGGACAAAGAAGGTGAGGGTGAAGTCCCCAATGTCCCTGAATGTCACCACTAAAATGGTGATGGCTTTTTATGTCAAGGCCCTGTCATGTGGCATACAAACAATAGAGATGTGGGGCAGCTTTTGGGGTGGCGGAGGGTTGGATGGGCCAGGTGGAGCAAGGGGGAGGAATGTGGAGGGCTTTGTTCCGTGCCACCACTGATGACCATCTCCTGTCACTTGCAGAGCTGCCTCCCACGCTGGAAGTTCTGCATCAGTGACACAGACAACAACCTGGGCTTTGCCCTGGGGGCCATGTTTGTCAAGGCCACCTTTGCTGAGGACAGCAAGCAGGTGGTACGTCCCCAAGACAGCAGCGTGCGAGTCCCAGTGCTGGGGAAGCTTCTACAGTGGTGGAACTGTCGGGGCAGACAATGTTTCTGTGTGCGCTGTGCAGCTCTGTGTGCTGCTTTTTTCACCATGTGTTGTCTTGGCCTCCCAGCCTCTTCCTCCCTGTGGTGTGAAGGTCCTCGACCTCTCTGGGACAGGAAGCCAGCTCTCTGGACTGACGCTGTGCTGCCTTGTTTTGTCTAGGCGGAGGAAATGATAGCAGAGATTAAAACTGCCTTCGAGGAAAGCCTGGAGACCCTGCAGTGGATGGATGAAGAGACAAGGAAGTCAGCCAAAGAGAAGGTGGGGTGCTACTGGCTGCACTGGGGAGAAGGGTGAGGGTGGAGAACGGTGAAACCAGGCGAGCCTGTCCTTCATCTCTGGCACTGAAAGCACTCTGGTCCTTGTCATCCTCCAGGCAGATGCCATCTACAACATGATTGGCTATCCCAAATTCATCATGGACCCCAAGGAGCTGGATAAAGTCTTTAATGACGTGAGTTGGTCAGATATGTCCCCTGGGTGTTCTATAGGATGTGCAGGATGTGTCCATATCTCCAAGGCCTCAGCCTTGAACCCCAGGCTTCCTCCAGAAGGGGCTCACTGATGTCCTTGGGCCTTCTCTAGGGACTTCCCAGAGACCTGTGGGCCAGTCCTGGGGTGGCTGTGGCTCATGGGATTCCTGCCTGGGAAAAGGAGGAGTCGTTTTCTATAATGGTGATTCATTGCCCTCCAGAGACTCCACAGATGTTGGAAAGGAGGAGAAGCCGTAACTGCTGGCTCTGGAGGCTCAGATGTGACTGTGGAGGGAGGAGTGGGGCTGGACAATCACCACACACTGCTCACACCTTGTTCTTTTGCAGTACGAGGCTGTTTCTGACCTCTATTTTGAGAACGTCATGCAGTTTTACAACTTCTCAGCCAGGGTCACGGCTGACCAGCTCCGGAAACCACCAAACCGGGACCAGTAAGTCCTTTGCTCCACTTCCACTGTGTTCAGCGGGGAATATCAACATATCTGGAGCACTGGGATTTGGTGTCCACCAGGCTGTGCTGGTTTTGGGGAGATAAATTTAGGACAACAGCTTTGCAGCAAAAGTGGATTATGCTGCAGCAAACACTGGTGATGGTTTGTGTTGGCATGTTGGCTGTGTTTGTGTTCCTGCAGGTGGAGCATGACACCTCCGACAGTCAATGCGTATTACTCTCCCACCAAGAATGAGATCGTCTTCCCTGCTGGCATCCTCCAGGCCCCCTTTTACACCCGTGCATCCCCCAAGTAAGAGCCACGGGAAAACAGAGAGGGACAGATTCCCAGCTTTCCTCCTATATCCAAATGTTAGGCTAAGTTTCATGGCTGTGGAGAGCAGAGGCTGCTTTCTTAACCTCTGCATTACCCTCCTGCAGATCCCTGAATTTTGGTGGGATCGGCGTGGTGGTGGGCCATGAGTTGACACATGCTTTTGATGACCAAGGTATGACCAGGGCCAGGTGGGTGGGCAGCTGGAGGGGTGGCCAGGATGAGATGAAGGATCCACCATGTTCTTGCAGGCCGGGAATACGACAAAGATGGCAACCTGCGTCCCTGGTGGAAGAACTCCTCGGTGGAGGCCTTCAAGCATCAGACAGCGTGCATGGTGGAGCAGTATGGCAACTACACTGTCAACGGTGAGGCAGTCAATGGCAAGCACACCCTCGGGGAGAACATCGCCGACAATGGGGGCCTCAAGGCCGCCTACCGGGTAGGACCATGGGGCTGGGGAGATTTGAAGGGGGACACGGTGTGGTGGGATTTGTGGTGTCTCCTGAGCTTGCTGTGCTCCCTGGTTTTCAGGCATATCAAAACTGGCTGAAAAAGAATGGGGATGAAGAAACACTCCCAACTCTTGGCCTCACCAACTACCAGCTCTTCTTTGTTGGCTTTGCACAGGTAGGTCATGTGGGCACACGGATTTTTGGGGGTGGAGTATGTCCAGATAGGGTTGGGAGGGTGTGATGGGAAAACGGAGTCCTCCAGAGATGATGTAGTGGATGGAGAATGAGACTGGGGTGGTGCTGGTGACAAAGGAAGACAAAGCTGAAGCTCGAGCTGCCGTGGCCCCCATCACACAGGCAGAGGTTGGGTTCAGCACTGAGCTGGCCCCATGGTGATGGGTGTCAGTACTCAGGCCCCTCGCACTCCATTTGCAGGTGTGGTGCTCAGTTCGCACACCAGAGAGCTCACACGAGGGGCTCATCACGGATCCCCACAGCCCCTCGCGTTTCCGCGTCATCGGCACCGTCTCCAACTCCAGGGAGTTTGCAGAGCACTTCAGCTGCCCCCCAGGCTCCCCCATGAACCCCCTCAAGAAGTGTGAAGTCTGGTGATGGGTGAGTGCCCAAGGGAACCAGCGGCTGGTTGCTTTGTCCTCTGCCAATAGCTGGGCTTCCCCAGTCCTTTGAGGCTCAAACCACTTCTCCATGCCATGGAGAGCCCAACTCTTCAGCTGGAGCAGTGTCTGTGCCCCTGGCATTGTCTGAGGTTCAGTCCACTGTGAAAACTTCTCATCCCCCTGCTTGTTGGTGAAATGACGTAGGTTTGGGGGTCTCCTCTTTCCCACCATGACCGAGCCAAGTGTCAAGGCACACACGTATCCGTGGGCACTGCCTGTATTTACACACACACAGTGCTCCAGCCTGACCCACTGCCTGCAAAACCTCTCTGCTGTGGAGGTGCTAAAGGGAAGCCCCAACAGTGGCAGGTTTGTCTGCGTGTCTGAGTACACCTGATGTACCACCTTCTCTCCAAAGATGCGCACACGAGGGTGGGAAATATTTTAAGAAATATTTTTTTGGGGGGGAAATACATATATTTTTTTCATGTGTTGTGGAATACACTGGAAATTTTCAGGGAAAAAGCATTTAAAAGCCTTTTAGTAAAATATTAGTATATTTATTAATTTTTTTTTTTACTTAGTGCAGCTGTAGGTGCAGTACCCTGTGGTGACAGTCCCTTGGCCAGGGAAGCTGGGCAGGGCTGTGGATATCTTTCCAGTCTTGGATCCTGTGTTTCTCTGGGAGGGACTATCCCTCAGAGGATGCTGATGGGAAAATTAGGGACAGCAGGCCTGGGGACAGGGCTGGAAGATGCTGCACATCACAGAGGCTGTGCTGGCATGCTGCAGCTCCTGGGATTAGCTTTAATTTCAGAGTGTAAAGGGAAAAATTGACATAACCAAAGATGTAACCAAGGTGGTGATGGGGTGGATGAAGCATCCTGTTCTCCTTCCTGTCCCTTCTGAAGTCAGGCCAGCCAGGATATCCTGGCCCTAAAGCTTCCCAGACAAGTGCAGGCAGTTCCTGCCACTGCTTTTCTCATGCTGAGCCTGCCCTCTGCACGGGAAGCTGCAAGCCCCAAAAGCACCACGTGGCCCCAAAATTCTGTCCCTCCACAGGTGGTTTGGCACCAGTGTGAGAAGTGATCAGGATGGGGCTGAAGGACTTTAAGGGATGTTTTTAATACTTGTTTTGAGGGGAAAGCACTGACAGGAGCTCAGGTGCTGTGTGTTGTCTTTTGCTCTAGACAAAGCAGAGACACGGAGGAATTTTTAATATTTATATGTAAAGGGAGGGATGGAAGGGGCTGTTTTTTTGTAACTATTTTTTCACCCTATGTGTGGGGCTAATTGTAATTGAAATAATAAATACTTTTTACTGGATTTGGAGCTTATCATGACTCATTTTCTTATAGCAGGAGGCTCTGCATCCCTTTATTTGTGCCCTTCTCCCTGTCTACACCACTAAGACTGTCCTGTGTTGACAAAGCTGAGCCAGGAGCCTTTTCCCAACCTGTGCTTGGTGACTGCTGCCTCTCTTGGAGGCTAAATCCAGGGGTTTTTGCCCTAAAACCTTACTCTCACTGCAGGTGGCTCTTTGCTTTCCATCTCTATGGCATGACCCCACACAGCTCCCTGGCAGGGAGGTCTTTCCTGTATGCTTTTCCTTCCTCCTGGGTGAGTTTTTAGCCAGCTGGGCTGTGGTTGGATCCAGTGGCACAGGCCCCACCACAGGTTTCTCTTCAAACTCCCTTATTTATGGCTTGGTGATTCGGGGGGATGCTGCCAGCTCCATAACACAGGCCAACATGCACTTCAAGCAGATGCTCCATGGCTTCATCAGGCTTGCCCAGAAAATGCAAGGTAGGACCTGGGCTGCAGGCTCCATGCAAGCCTCACCTCAGCACCTGGCAGGGCTGATAGCCATTAACCATGTCAACTGCTTTGTAGTCCTTCGCTATTTAGCCTTGGAATTATTGGGGGCTGGATTTGGGGCAAAACTAGGGGGCTGCAGCCCACTGATAGCAAACTTTTGGGAATACAGAGCATTTCTGCTGCTGGCAGGGGCAGGACCAAGCCAGCAGTGAGCTGGGGACACGGATGTTGCATAAATAAGACATTAAAATACCCCTCTGACCTTTTTTACCGTGTTTTCTCACCCAGATGGAACCAAAATGTAGTAATAGCACTCACTTTCTGCTGGCACCACTCAGTGTGAGGCCCTCGGCTTCCTGCAGTGCTGGAGAGTGGCTGTGGCCGTTGTTTTCCAGAGGTCTGCCTGGAAATGGTGCAAACCCGCAGAGGGCGGTGGAGCTGAGAAAATCGCTGCCTGCACACTTCGGTGCTTGGCTGGCAGGAGCCAGTCCTGTTTCAGTCTGGATGTGGCCCCACGTGTTTGAATTGTGGTGGAATACCTGCATTCCTAGGGAAAGAGAGGAGCAACGTGGGTGTAAGGCAAAGAGGAATAGACTGGGGCTGGGGTGAGAGGGTGTTTTCCCAGCTGCAAGGAGCAGGGAAGGGAGTACAGGAGTCACATGGAGATGCTGTTAGAAGTGGTTTAACACCATCCAGAAAGGAAATGCTTTGGCTCTCTGGGGCTTAGTTGCAGGGAGGAACCAGGCAGGTGATGGCTCAGGGACAGCCCCAGGGCAGAAAGGACTTTGAGGGTGACCATCAGCTGTGCTGTGGCAGGGGACAACCGTGGTCAAGGCTGCCCATGTGGGGCTGAGAGCAGGTGGTGGGAGTTTTCCTCCATGGGAGGCTGCAGGCACAGGGAGAGCGGGCAGGAGGTGAATCATCCTGCTCTGTGCCAGTGCCTGGTGTGGGCTTGCCTGGTCCTGGGTGGCATTTGCTTTATTTTGTACTCAGCTGTGCCCTGGAGGGCTGAGACATTTGCCGAGGGCTGAGCTTGAGCAGGGGGGGAATGGGGAAAGCTCCAAGCAAGACTATTTTCTTTTTCTTTTTCTTTTTTTTCTGTTGGGCGTTTTTTTTTTGTCTGGAGGGGGTTGGAAGAGGATCTGTTCAGGAAAAGCAGGAGAAGCCAAAAGAGGGGGAGGTGCTTCTGTGCTGCACTGGGTGAAAGCAGGCACCTGGAGCATGCTGGAGCCTCCACACGGAACTGGAAATGGGGGCTGTTCATAGGTTTGGTGGGGCTGAGACAGCTGTTGAGAGGTGAGAAGCTGCACCCAACCATCTGAACTGCCCTTCTCCTTCCTGCTTTGTTCCCTCCAGGTAGGATCTAACCCCTGACACATCACAACATGCTGAGGTCACCTAGTGGGACAAACAGATTGTAGGGCCAAAAGCTTCCCTGAACAAGCCATACCTTCCTGAAGGCAGGAGGATGGGGAGCAGGTTTCTAAATCTCACCTTGCAGCTGGGACCTGCTCATTCTGATCACTGTGAGTTTTCACTCAGAGCCAGAGCAACAAGAAGGCTCTATCTCCTCACTCACTCCCAGGACCACGGCTTTATGCTTTTGTCACTTTATGCTTTTCTCTCCATGAGCATCCCTTCAGGAAAACAGTCATTTTGCAGTGATACCCCAACCCTGTATTTTCCATAGTTCACCAACAGCTCCAGCATTCCTACCACACTCTGTGCTGTGGCAGGTACATGAGAGACTGGTGGGACTGGGGAAAGGGCTGGTGATGGTCTGAAACAGCTCAGCACTGTAGGCTCCAGCGGCCCATGGTGACACATCAGTTCCCAGGTGCTAATAAAGCTAGCAGGAAAAAGAGGAGGAAAAACAAAATGGAGAGGCGAGAAGGGTGTGAATCCAGCTGGAACTCACTCAGGCTCTAAAGTCTGCAGGATTTGTTGGCCAAATCGTCCTACACAGGGTAGATATATCTTTTTCTTCTCAGGGAAAAACATGTCTGGGGAGAGACACTGACTCTGGAGGGGGCTTTAAGGCAGAGCCAGGAGCCTGGCTCCTTCTCCTGGCCAGCACATTTTGGGAGCTTTAACAGACAGTATGGTGAAAACACCATTTTATTTCCTTTCTAAACAGGCAGAAAGTGTTATATCCAAAGATTCTGGAGTTTGGAAGCTCTTTTGCAGCTGTGTTTACAGGCAGCTATTTCTGTAGAACAGAGGCAGCTATGGATGTCAATTTGCTTTTGAGATGACTTTCCTTCCATGCAAAGGGGGATACCTGGAGAGTGTCTGTGCCAGGAGGTGGTCATGGAATGGCACCAGCCCCCCCAGAACACACTGCTCTACTTGCCCCCTCCAAGCAGTAACAGCCAAGTCTTTACCAGCTGTGGAGGAAGAACTGTCTTCCCAGCAGGATCAGTGTGCTGTGGACATAGCAGCTCTCCAGGATGCTGGGAGATCTTCTAGTCCTTGGGCAAATCCCGTAACATAAGAGAAGTTCTTCCTTCTGGGGAGTTTGCCATTTTTGGGCAGTGGAGGAGTACTTGGCCTTTGTTTTAGGTCATTCTTATTTCTCTCTTCAGTTTTCCTGGTGGGGAATCACTTAATATAGCAGGCTGAAGGCTGCTGAGGAAAACTGAGTCAGAAAAAACCAGCCAGAACCCCTAAATATTTGTAGCTGGGATCAGATGGAAATATTTCCCACTCAGAACTTCTTTACAGGCTGGCAGGGCTTGGTTGGGCTCTTTCCCCTCAGAAAGAAATCTCAGTATTTCCTATTTCCCCCCATTTTCCACAGGCAGTGTGAGGTATGTATGAGCTCACCTCCTCCCAGGTATTTCCCTTACCCCATTGCAGAACAAAGAGTGCAGAAAGGGACACTAAGCAGCACATGAGTCACCTTCTCCTGCCCCACTAATGCCTGCAGGCACTGCAGGAGGTGGCTGTACCCTCCGGGTAGCAAGTAAGTAAGAAAGTATTCCAGTTGCAGGCTGCTTTTAATGGAGACCTGTGTGGCAGCTCCCAGCTTTCCTTCTGAGAACACACCGCAGAGGAGGGAGATTCTGGATACACTGCAATCCTTGTGCATCCCAAACCTGCTCTGCACAGCCCCATTGTTCAGTTACTCAGAGTCTGACGCCAAAGGGAAAACATACTCAAGACCCTTCTACTTGCTTTTGCCCACTGTACTGGAGTTCTGCTCCAGTGAACAACACCCAGTCCAGATAGCCCACCTTCAGATTTGTATTTAAAATCCAAAATTGCTTTTCTGCATAGAAACAGAACCATGGCACAGACTCTCAGCTACTCTCCAGGTGCCTGAACACACTACCACGAGAGCTGTTCAGTAAAAGAAGCTTTTCATGTTTAAGGGTTTATTTGTGATTGCATTAAAGCATTCTTAAACCTGCAGCTGCTCAGAATTTGCAGCAGACAGGACACAAGTAAACTCTGGGAAGGTTTCCTAGAGCAGCAGCCGAGGCTGGGTGACTGGGGCAGCAATACTTATGGGCACAGCAAAGGTGCTGGGAGCATCTCCCTGGGACGTACAGTGAGGCAGGAATGTTGGAAGGTGCCAGCAGGTTGGAATGAGCCCTCGGCAGCCAGTGGCAGGGCAGGACACGTCAGGACAATCTGGCAGCTGCTGGAATCTGTTCTGAGGTGCTTTTTATCTCTCTGAGATGGTACAAACCACCTTGGCTGCTGCCAAGCTCAGACGGTGGCCGTGAGGAGGGATCTGCAGGTTAGATGTGAAATGGTGAACACAGTGGTGGTGTGGCAACCCTTGGGGGTGATGGCTTGGTGTGACCGTGGGGTCAGGTCTGGACGGGTCACCCCCCTTGGGGGTCCCGGGGTCCCTCACAGCCACCCTGTCACCCTCAGGACTGTCTTCCCTCATGAGGGGCTGCAGTGTGGCCCCTATCAGCTGCCCCAGAAGCGGGGAATTGGGGCTGGGGGTGAGGTTTCTTAGGTAAGCCCCTTCCTCGGGCCCGCGGTAGGGTGGGTACTGCAGGACCCCTCACAGCCAACAGGCTCCCAGGGGTCCCGGGTTTACACATTGCATTCAGAGCTGCTCTCCCCTCCCTTACGATGCCTCAGGGGAGGCTGCAGTGCTGGCCCTTCCAGCCCCTCCAGAAGGCAGGAATTTGGGCTGGAGGTGAGTTTTCGGGCAGGGGAAGCCCTCAGTGGGTGCTGAGGGATTCCAGGCTCCCCTGAGAACCTCGGGCCAATCCCTCAGCGCCAAGCGCTGCCGAAGTCTCTCCGAGCTGAATCGAATGTCCCCGAATCCCCATGGCGACCCCGAGGGACGCCGAAGATTGCTGAGAAGCTCCGAGGAACTACGAGCGGGGCGGGAATCCCTCTTCCGAGCCCCTCCGAAGCTTCCCGAACTGCGTCACGCCCTCGTCTTCCGGAAATAACCGAAATTTACCGAGCGCGGGGGTCACGGGAGGTGCTGGGCTGAGCGGGGAGGGAGGGGGAGCACGGCAGGGCGCTTGCGCCCGCGAAACCCTCTCCGGAAGAACCCGAGGTTTGCCGAGCGATCCTGGCTGACGAGAAATTCCGGAAAGAGCCGAAGGTTGCCGATCAGCGGTGGGCCGAGCGACTCCGGAAAGAGCCGAAGGTCGCCGATCGGCTCTGGGCCGAGCGGCTCCGGAGCGGCCCGAAGGCGCCCGAGCGCCCGCCCGGCCGGACAGCTGGAGGCGGCCGCAGCGCCATGTTTGATGCTCCGCTACTCCAGTGAGGAAAATCCGCCGGCATCGCCCCCGAGCCGCCGCCGCGAACGGCTCCGCTACCNCCCCCAGAGCCGGGGGGTGTGTGAGGTGGGGCTTGTTGAGGGGTCCCCAGCTCCTTTTTGTGTGTCTGTTTGTGTGTGGGGCCCCCTGCGCAGGGGGGCTGCACCTGCTGGGATGGTGGGAAACGGGGGCCGTCCACCTCCCCAGCGGGTTGGTTTGGAGGTTCAGCCCTTTCCAGGGGGTCCCTTTTCCCCCTCCCCCAAAGCAGCGGTGACCCCAAGGGTAAACTTTTAATTATAAATCGTTCTTCAGTTTTGCTTCTGGTCCTGCCCAGGTAAGTGCTTTGGTTTTATTGTTTTTCCAAGCGAATTTAAATCCAATTTTTTTATTTACAGCTGGGGACCATTTTCATGTGATTTATTTTATTTTATTTTTCCTACTTGGCTGATGGGATAAATCTTAGGTGGAACGTTTCACTGAGCGGCTTTCCCTGACAGGCCACACGTGATGGGGAGGAGGAGGAGGCTCCCACTCCCCAAAATCCCCCCACCAAAGCGGCCGCTGCTACAAAGAGAGGCCGGCGGGGGCTGTGAGTGTTTTTTAAAGGTCTTCGGTTCTGTGCTGCGAGTAGGCCCCAAGTCAGGAGGGAAATACTGCAGGGATCACCAGGAAAGTGCCTGCCGGCCTGAGGTTTTGTTTCCAGCGTCCGATAGCATCCCGTTGCAAACCGGCTGTTCTCTTCCCCTCCATCCCTGGAGTTTTGGGGGGTATGAAGTGAAAAACACACTTTGTGAAAGATCTCCGTGCTGTGTTATCCGGGAATGATGCAGGGACGATCGGGAGTGTGTTTTTCCATTAATGTTTGGCGGTGTGTTGGATTTTAAGGTGGAAGTGCAGGGTGGTTTTCGTGCTGTGTTCCCTGTGTGTAAGCATTTTCTTGCTCTCACTTTCATTTTGGAGGTGGGAAAACCCAGCCCTTTTATAATCAGTTTAGGTCTATTGTTTTCTTGAGCTTCCGGCAAGAATCACCCCTGCCATGACAGCAAATTCATTGCTTAAATCATGAGACTGTTGACGTTACAGATTTGTTTGGGTCAAGTGAAAACCCCTGGACGTTCTCTTTGCTGGCTGATTTTTGCCTGATTTGTGGTATTCCGTTATTCCAACCGGTGCTTTAGGAATAAAATAAGTGGGAAGGTGCTGTCAGTAGAGTCAATGGGGTGGTGGTAAGTAAAACTGTTGCTCAGGGAAAATTTGCTTCGGTTTTGAGGGATGTGCCAAGAGTTGGAGTGGGAATGCTGGCCAGTGTGCAGAGGCTGTGCCCAGCTGAACTTCCCAGCAAGGTGCTGGTTTGTCTGTGAAGGGGCTGTTTTATCGGGGAACGTGGCACTTGGATGCCTTGGGAGTTGGAGACTGAAGTTTGCCTGGATGTGGGGCTGTGCTGGGCTTTCCGAAGCGCTTCATTCCCTGGGGAACTTCTCCGGGTGTTGCTGAGGGGGATCCTGCTGGGTCGGAAGAGGGGCTGTGATGTTGTGTTGTTGCTGTTGGTGAGTGTTGCATGAAGCACAAGCATGAGGGATGAAGTTTGGGTTACTCTGAGTACAGCCTGAAAACAAAAGAGCTTGGGAAGCCTGGAGAAGCTCTTAGAGGAGCTGGGACTGCTGTGGCAGTGTGTCCCATCCTAGGAACCCGACTGGACACGGTGAGAAGGAGGGAGAAGTGTTAGATGGAAATGATAAGTTGGTGTTGTGGAAGTGTGGAGGTTAAAATGACACAGTTTCATTTTTATTTCTCGACATGCCTGTTTTGAAAACATTATGTCTGACCGATATCTCTCCTTAACTCCTAAACCACTGATCTGTGCTTGGAAGCAAAACACTTTGTTTTTGATGCTCGGTGTCCTGGTGAAGCTTATTCGGGTGCCCTGGCTGATTTTATCCTCCACCAAAACCTGTGTTTGATTATAAACAAAAGCTGTTACCTCTCAGTGCTGCTCTGAGTGAAGCCTGGGGAGCAGAGTTCATCCCTGATTTACTAGAGTGCAGGGGGTCATCTGAGTTCAGCCTTATTTTTAGCCCTCTTTGGTTTCTTTTTTTTCTCTGTGTTTTGATACAACTGTTGAGCCACTGTTACCTCAGAGCAGATAAAAGAGTTGCAGGTTTCTCTGACTTGGGCTTTTTAAACCAGAACAGTTTCTTATTGGTGAACTTTGTAACTTTGGAAATATCTGCGGTTTCAGACTTAATGTATCATGAAATTAAACAAAATCTGTGTAATTGGAAAAAAATAAGAATTGTGTGAGAAAGAAGTGTTCAGCATGTGCATGTAACAAGGCATGCGGGAGGGAAAATTAAAATAAAGGGGAAAGAAGGAATTTTTAAAGAAAATAATGTTTTTTGAGAGAAAGAGAAGCTGGAAACTGATGGACACAAAGAGCAGAAATATCTGGGTGTGAGATTAATTCTGTTTCCTGCTAAATAGGAAGTTATTGGAGCTTCTGTAAGACAAGACACGCTTGTGAGGAATTTCCTTAACACAGTGGCTTCAAAAAGTTAAATTTCCTGTGTAAAAATAAGCTTGGATAATTTTGTGGCTCTGGTAGTGGTGAGTACTCAGCCAAACCTGATTTCAGGCTGAAATTGTGCTCAAAAGTTGTCAGTATGGATAAATCCTTCAGCTGGAGTCTGAGCCTTATTTGGGTGGAAAGGACGAGCAAGGGTGAAATGATACACAGAAAGGGATATTATAAAAAGTAAACCCCAATCTGTTCTCCTTGGCTTTGTCTCCCAGACCACCTCTGCAGGAGAAGTTCCAGAGAAGTCTGGAGTGAGACTTCTTCCATAAAAAGGTACAGTACCAAAGGTGCTGCAAGGGCCCTGTGGGCCTTTGTGGTTATACCTCAGTGGTACTTCTGACACTCCACCCTGTTCTTTACTCTCACACTTAGGAATGAAGTATTTTTTGTGTGTGTCTTACATTAAGCTGTTCTTTCAAAACTGTGCTGTGAATAAATTTTGTGGATCAATATAATCAGGTCACCAGTTTCTTCCCAGCCTAGATGTAGTCAAACACTGGCCTGTAAGGGAGAGCCAGGCTGATGGATGGCACCTGGGGTGAGGTCCCACAGCTGCTGTCTCTTCAGTCAGAGACAAATCAGAGCTGTCTGCAGCTCAGGGCTGCTGTCAGTAGGGCTTTGTTTTCTTTCCCCAACTTCCTCACGTTGGGAGGGAGTTCCTGGTTGTTGATGTGCAGGCACCAGTAAGCTTGACTTGAATCTACCCCTGTGGCTGTTTCCATGTGGGACTGGGCATCTCTGAAAAACTGGGTGTTCCTCAGGCCATTGCAGGTTGTGGCAGGCTCAGGGTGGGTGTCAACAGATCATTACTAATTTCTTTTCCTCTTCTTCCTCCTTGTTAATTTCATTTCCGAGAACCAGAGCAGAAGGATCAGTGTTTGGAGTACTGACCTCTGTGTGAATTCCATCACTGCTGTGCAAGGAAACGTGTGTTCTGCTAATGTTGCCTCAGTAATTTAGTTTTACTTTTTCCTGCATTGTTCAGCTAACTGTGCTGTAGTACCTTTCAGGAAGTGCTGTGCTGGTTCCTGCTGTGTTGGGTGGCATCTTCTGGATGCAAGCAGCTTCCCCAAAGCCCAGGAGGACAGCAGGAAATACAGGATTGTGTTCAGGAACGTCTGAGGCTGTGTGGGAAGTCAGGATGAGTTCCTGGCAGTGCTTGCCCAGTGTTGGGATGCAGGCCAGGCCAGAGTAGGCCTGCCTTGGAGATCTGGTTAAATCAAGATTCTTGAGGAGGATTTGGGTGCGTGGGGTTCTCTGTTGTCTCTCCATGAACAAAGAGTCGAGCTGGAGGAGAAAGTACCCAATAATTTTTCCCAGGAGAGAATCTGCATCGAAGGGTTGGGGTCCGAGTTGCCATGATCCCCTCTGGAAGTTTGGAGCCACTGCCATCTTCCCTCCTTACTTGCATTTTGAGTGATGTTTTCCCAGACTGCGTGAGGGAGCAGCTCTGTTCTCGCTGGGATTTATCTGTTGATGACTTTGAAGTTGAGGACAAGGCATTTGGAAGCTGCTTGGGCACAAAAGTCAGCTTGAAGAGCATGGTCGTGACTCTGGTGTGAGGCACTCTCTGTGCGGCTTTGACATCGACTGGAGCGCAGTGGGAAATCCTCTTCCAGATGCCAGAGGCAGCCACGTGTGAGGAAGGTGTCAGGAGCATTCCCAAAAGGGAAGGAGTGGTGAGAGGTGGGAAGGAGGAACCAGGCTGAGATCAGAGGTGTGTCTTGCTCTCCATGTTTCTGAGCTGAGGAGGGAAGGAGATCTCAGCTGGATGAAGGGAAGGGGGCAGACGTGTTGCCTGGGCAGTGTTTCTGTTTTGAAGTGTTGAAGGTGTGGAGATCAAACATCTCAGGAGGGTTGGAGCAGGAGAAGGGCTTGGGGAAAAAAGACTTTCCCTGCTGCTCTGTGGTGGTGGCTCCTCTGCAGGAGAGGAATGGGCATAGACTGGGGAGCATGTTGCCAAAAAATTAAGTGCCTTAAGCCCTCTCTGCCATCTCCCCTGTTGATGTTCCCCAGCCTTGGCACATCTTAGTGTTCTTTCAAGCAGCAATAGCTTTAATTTCTTTAATGACAAAAGCTAATCATGTTAGAGTGCAGATATGTCACTTAAC